GTTATATATAATTAACATCTCCCCAACGCAAAAAATACATCTTGTGAGGTCTTGTTTACAAGAAACGCTGCTAGGTTCTTTAACCTGTTGGCTCCAGCGCTCCAGAAGAATCTTGGAAGGGAGCATCCCAACCACACCCAAAGGCACGCCCATCAAGAGCCTGCCATTTTCGCCCTCACAAGTGAGTCCACATACAGCAATGTTTCAACTCCTTGTATGCTTCTGTACTGCAACCAGGCACCTTCAAGTATATAGGGACTCACAAGCCCATGTCCAAAATTGTTTGGCTACGGCTTGGAATTGTGCACAAGTCTATGGTTGTGGCTGCAGCCACTTCCCATAGAGTTGTGAGGAATATCAGGCCAAAGCTGCAGTATATCTGGAAGGCTTAAGAACTGCTATTAAAATTGATCTACATTTCTGATTTGGTCTTCAAATTCTTGGTTTGGCCAACATTAGAGAAACTCACCGAATCCTCTATTTCGCTTACAAAAAGAAAAAACAGGTGTAGCCAATGTGATTCTTCCACTGCCACACGGGACCATCCCTTAATTAAAACAGGGTCCCAAAGGTCACGGAAAAATCCTTACAGTGCCTGGGAAAGAAAAAGTTGTCATGGAAATGCCATTCCGAAAATTGAGAGAAAAAAAGGTGCCGTAGAATTTTTTGTAAGAGGGAAAAGGTTGTAGAAATCAAAATCATAAGGGTTATTTTTGATGAGATAACAGAATAATGATAATTTAAGGGCTCTCCTTGTTTTAAAGCAGTGGCCATGGCAGTCGTCCAGTTCATAAAAGAAAACAAGTTTTCTCTGTAAAATGCATTAAATGTCATGGGAATTCTCCCTAAAACGTCCTAAAAAAGTTATGGAATTTTATTTTCAAACTTCCATGGGAACCCTGTTTTACTTTGTTCTAGAATTCGAAACGCAATGCGTTTCTGGTTTGAAGAACTTTTGCTGATGGATTTTTCTGTAATTATTCCCCTCCCACTTGATAAAAAAAGTTCTTGAATTTGGAAAAGCCCAGTCAGAGCAGTGGCAGCGAGCAGGTCATGACCTCCACACCCGTCATCAAATCTCATCATGCAACACCCAAGATATTCACCACGGGAACCCCGGGCACCAGGTATGGCTGTGGCCGAATGGGGTAAATTTTGCTTTGCAGCTAGGGCTTGTGACTAAAGTACACCAATGGTAAAGGAGGCGAAGCCTAAGCCCCAATGCCTCACTTTTGATCGATAAGGACAAAAAGATATCATTTGATATGTCATGGACCTCACTGTATTGAATGTAACATCCATGTTTTTTTCACAAAGGAGGAAAAGTCTTGTTAGATAGAAACAAGCTTGGAAAAATCTTTCGAAATTCGTACAACAAAAGCACAAAAACTTTCAGCATTCACCCGTGTTCAAGTGTCATGAAACTTCAGCTCTGTGGTATTCAATCTGGAACACATGATTTCATTTCCAGGCACTTCCGAACACCAAATAATGCCAAGCGTTCTCTGCTGGAGTCTACTCCTAGGACGCCGACCCCCCTCAAAGATGCCCTGGAGGCACTGGAGAAAAGAAGCGGAACAAGTAGATTCATGGTGCGTATGTGACGGCAACTGGCACTCTCCGTTTGAGCCGACCTCCGACTGCTGCAGCCGGTGTCACAACGGAGACCTCTTAAGACCGTCACAAGACCAACGCAGAACCTCCAGTCTGATTTCAAGCCACAAGCTAGTCAAAATGAACTGCAAGAAATGCATTTCTTTGACACTGTTCACCCGGTTACTTGTGACTGGTCTTGCGTCCGGTCTTCTGTCTGTGTGTCTGGTCTTGTGACTGGTTTTGCATCTAGGCCCAGTTTCGCAGAGCTGCTTAAGAGAAGTTGCTTTAACTTTAGCAGAGAAATGTGCTAACCTTAAGCACTGTCTCATGGTGGTGCTTAGCATGGTTGTGCTGATAGTTGCACGTGCATAGAGATTTCTAGCATTGCGTCACTAAGTTGAAGCCAATTTTTTGTCCCATGCTTATTGCTTACAGTCTCTGTGAAATATGTGGAATCTCAGTTAGTGTGAAATCGTGCTAAGCAACACCGTGAAATTGGGCCCTGGTCTTGGGACTGTTCATGTCAGGTATTGGGATAGCCTCTACTCAACACCACATGGAGCAGTAAGAGACCGTCAGAAAGTTTTTATGTTATGTTGATCACGACTGATAGGTCAGCTCCAACCGGTCACATACTTGTTTTGCTCAGTCATCAAAAGATTCAGATTGGCAAAATTATGAGTTGTCAATTTCTCCTTTTTTGGCCTCTCAAATCCCTCTGAATTTCATTTTCTAGATACTGGGGACAACATGTTATTGGAGCTTTGATATGCTCCAACTCAGATAAACATGGCCAACATTTTTCCACTGAGTTTGCTGGCAAGGAAGACATGTCTTTCACCCGCTCACCAACTCTTGGACCGGTGAGGTGTTTGGGAACAGTTCCAGTAAACCAGATGTAACATTTCTTTCCTCTATCTTTTTCTCAAAGCCGTGTACTCCAGGACAACTGGAAGACATCTCGGAGATCATCAAACAGGATTGCGGCTCGGCCTCGTCACTCAAACGAGTGTCGGTACGAATCTCCTTGGTAAAACGCTCCCCCTTTTTTCAGTTTGTGACCTCTGTGCGTGCTCAGTGCTGTCCTCAATGTGTTCGACTCACAACCAGCAAGCGTAAGGTCTGGATTCACTAGTCTAGAAACCACTCTATAGAGGCCCAAGTCTGCAGACATTTTATCTACTAATCTTCAGATCGGCAGGTCTGCGTACTTGGCCCAAAGCCAAACTGTGGATTGATAGGTCATCATGCATTTGTCTCAGACAATCCTTGTAGTCTTGAGTCTTATCTACAAGCAATTTGTACAGTGTTGGGCCGTCATGCATTCCTCGCAAACCATAGATCAGTAGGTCTGCATACATCGGCCCAGTAGCCTATACGTAGATTTCTAGATCATCACGCATTTATCCACCAATCGGTAGAGTGTCAGGTCTTTGCACGTTTGTCCACCAACCTGTAAATCGTCAAGATCCCATGTGTTCGCCCAAACACTAACCTGTAGATGGTAGCTCTAGTGTCTCCGTGCATTTGTCTAACAATCCGTAGAGTACCTGCAGTCGATTTCAAGAAACTTTACGCAATGGCGTAACTCCAATTACGTCACATTTTATTGCGCAAGTTGCGCAACAAATTATGAGCGATTTCACAAAACTTAATCACAGCGTAAGTCCGCTAGTTTTGAATGTATTTGCCCAGCGAGCTGCATTTATCCTACTTCCACTCTTCTCCCTGCAATGAAATTTCTCAAAAGAGACCTTTGAGAACATAGATCAAGATGTAAGAAGATCTTTTTAACCTGTATAAACAAACAACAGACTCGCAGTAGCTGAGCAGGCGAGCCTTTTGATACAAAACAGCTACTGACTAAGCAGTGTAAAATGGTACGTTGTTTTTTAACATGGATATATTACAGCTGAGGTGATGTCAAGGGTGCCATAAATACCCGACTTGCCTTAAACTAATGAAATTCAACAATAAAAACACTGCTCAAGGCATGTTCAAACTCTGACATACCATTTGAAAAGTGGTCAAATTGTTCAGAAGTCACTCGTCAACCAACCTTTGAAACCGACCAATTTTATAGGCATCTATTGTCGGATCACGAAATATGTTCAAGCAAAGTGAAATGACCTTTATCCTTGCAGTGTGAGCCACCAGCTAAGCGAGTCCGCAAGTCGCTCACCAACCAAATGACCTTTGACACAGACCTCAGCTCCAGTCACTTTGCCGATGACGAGGTGAGTATATCTCTTGAACCAATCTGGTTATAAATGGAATGTTTCATGCGAAGTCCTTAAGCCCTTTCTCTCGTTAACATAGGAAGCCAACAGACTGTGCGTTGGTATGTATACATACAGTTGCGATTTCCAGTAGGCCAGTTAGAGTCTCAGAGGTCACATACACCAATTTTTTTTAATGCAGTTTATATTGCATTTGCTGGAACTCACAGATATCTTCCTTGGAGGTTTGACGAGACCGAGTCCTTGTTTCCGTTTTTCTTTTCTCTCCAGCAAAGTCACAGCCTCCTCTCGGAGTCGCTGCTCTTTTCTCCCCCCCTCCACTCTGGCGCCATGGCGACCGGCTCCTTCAACAGCGCCTTCTTGTTGCCCGTCTCGCCGGTCAAGACCGGGGATGGCCTGGCCGGCAGACAGTCAAAGAACAGCACCCACGAGACACCGTTCAAACCCCCGCCTATGGTGAGTATGAAATGTCTGGTTGTGAGGCTGTCGTAGCTGGGTTCTTTGCTTTACTTAGATTGTGTTTGAAAGGTTGTCTTGAAGAGACACAGGCCAAGTGTAAATGGTCGATTCGTACTTGACATGATAGCCAGGACAGTTTCACGTCGAGAATCTCCGTAGTCTCATTTGGACTTTCCAAATCATCAGAACAAATTTGCTTTGAATTCAGAGTCCCAACACCTGGCGGTGCTGACATTTCAGCGGAGGCTTTGCATGGTAGCCATTTTGGAAGGCAGTTCTTTTGTTCCACAGGGAAACCTACTTTGTGCATACCCTGTGCAACAAAAACATTGGCCTGCAAGATGGCAGCCATGCAAACCCTCTATAGTCCAGCTCCATGCACCACTAAGAATCCATGCCTTTCTGCAGCACTGAAGAGACATTGGCCAAATACATAGGGTCATTAAGCAAAAAAGTCTTTCGTCTCTGGTCGGCGCGCCGTCAATTTCAAGCATGCACGTCAATGTTTTTTCTGTGTGAAAGCTGCAACAGCGCCCTCTAGTGCCACACTGCCTCAAAATTTTTGTGGGCAGCTCAGTCTTTCACTCACGGCGATAGATCCCATTGAGATCGATGTCGAGCAGTGATAACTTACAATAACTAAGCTGGTCTAGTCCCATGACTCGACAACCTGTCTGTACAATGCAACCCTAGAGGGAAAAAAAAAGCTGCGAAGCTGCATCAATTCCGGAACATCAGTCTGACCGGAGACAAACCATATTTTGGGGGCCCTTCTCTGGCCAGCACTGAAGAAACACAGTTTGCGTCATCAACAGCTGTGATGGAAAAATACAAAAAAGGGTCACACCAAGGAGTGAAAAATGTGTCCTGAAATGCAGTACTCGTAGCTTTCATTTCAACCAACTTGGAGATAACCTTAGCCTCACACGCCTCATCTATCTTGCACGGACAACCCCGAAGCATCCTCAATCCTTCACCCGTCAGAGGATTGAAGACTGTTAGGGTTTAGATTCCTTTGCCCTTCAACCTCCACTCAGCAGTTTTTCTGGAAACCTTTCAGGGTCCTCCAAAATTGTCCCATCTGCAAGAATCCAACGCCACAGACTATGTACTGTCAAGGGACAACCAGCTCTGTTACCTCTCAATCCCGCGAAATCCTCCAAAACTTCCGGGTGGTTTCAAAATGACGCTCAGGAGCATGAATAATATCGACGCATTGAACAGGCACATGGGAAATAGAGGCACCAATATACATGTATTATCATTATCCCTGCCCATGCAGCTCACAACATCTGAACATTCCAGGGACCATTTCACCTCCCTGGGGAGCGTACTAGCCTGATGCCACCATTTCAGGCACAACCACGTCTGCCCCCCACAGGTACCCATTTATCCCTGAGTGGAGAGGGGCATGTAAGGGTGAAGGGACTTGCTCAAGTCACAGAATGCTATCGTACTCGGATTTGAAACCACGACCCCCCCATGATTGGAAGTTACAAACCCTAACCACATGTCCCCTCAGGGTTTATGAAAACAAAACAACAGGCGTTCAAGAGTTGAATCGCCTGCGTCATTAAGTAAATGTGGAGTTTTCTCTGTGCTCCTTTTGGTGACAGCTGGACAGAGCATGGGAGAGGATTGCCTGCGGGAAGTCGGACGATCAGATCTACATGACAGAGCAAGCCAGGAAGATCCTACGATCCTGTCGGCCGCGATCCCTCAAGCTCTGAGCCTGCGGGCTCCCCACGGTGGCTTGACGTTGTCGAGAAGTACACTGCTCGAGTGCCGTCAATTACACCCTTTACACAAACGGGGTCGAGTTTCAGGGGTGCAACTTTTCCTCGGGTCACCCGACTCTCTCATTTCTCACTTCTTGCGCTACTCGCTACAAATTGAGAAACACCTTATGAAGTCTAGTATAGTTGGGAACCGGGTAATTCCAGAAATTAGGGGTCGATTTTTTTGGTGTCTCTGTCACATCTGACAGGATTTTGTAAGTTCAGAACGTATTTTGTAATTTCCAAGAGTGGTGAATTAATGCAAATGACCTGCCAAGTAGTTTGGAAATCAATGCTGGTGATATTTCCATGTCAAATAACAAAGGCCAGATGTAAACAAGGACACACAAAAAAACTTTTGGACCCCCTTATTTCTGGAATTACCCACCTATGTATCTTGTTTTTTATTGAATTGCCAGCTGTATGCCTAAAATTGAAGAGTTGCCAGAAGACTTGTATTTGTGACCCGTTTCTGCTTTGCACGACCTTCCCGTCAATAAATCGCTGTCTTCAGAAGTATATTGTTAAAAATTAGCACCCAAGGATTCGTTGTTGCACTGACAAGGAACTCCTGCAAGCATATGTCCTTGTTTTGGTTTGCGGAGTGAACATGCATGTTGTGGTTTGAGGTAAAGTGTAGCATCGGTGATAACCCAAATAATACAGTGTGCCGTGGAAGAGTTACTGAAGAGACCTCTTGCAATGCATTACAGCACAAAGCCAACATGATACATCCAACTGAAGAGGGCCTTGTGCTGGACACGAGGACTTACCACAGAATTTACTTTGAAACTGGGGATTGGAAAGGACAGCCGTTCACCAACGTACCAGAAATGATTTCAGTGTTGAAGTCGAGATCTCTCAGGACCGTCACAATACCTCTGGTCTGAATTCAAGCCACAAACCGTTCACCCTGTTGCCGATGACTGGTCTCGTAAAAGGGCTTGTGACGGTCTCGACTACAACACCGGTAAATTTGGCACGCCGCAAAAATATCGACGAGAGCTTTTTCCGGGTGTTTTCACATTGCAAGTCTCACGTGTTCAATGAGTACGAATCGGCGGAGTTGTTTCGAGTACCCCCCAAAATATTTTTGTGTCATTCCGGGAGAACAGGTTGTGCATTGTCAGCACCTGTTTGAGAAAGCCATATATTTTGATGTACACGTTGTACATAGATGTATTTACTTTTACATAGACCGAGGTGAAATTTTAGAATGGGACCAATTTAGGATTGAACATAAAATGCTAGAACAAATTGTCTGTTTTATAGAACGGAATAAAACTGCACAAAAAGTGGGCAGAAAAAGCTTTTTAATAGCAACTGTAAAAAAAAAAGATTACTATGTAAAAAAAAAAAATAGAAAGATGTCATACATGTAGGTGGAAAGTTTCTGACGTGGAAGAGAGTGTGTGATTGAAATGTGGGGGGAAAAAACCCACTTTTTAATCTGATGTTTTAAGATCCTAGAAAAATCATGAACTATGTATAAAAAAAAATGAAAAAACGTTTACATTGTACATACTAAGTTTGGAAGGTTTCTTCGTGTGCATTAACCGCATGACGGTTGTGGTGTATGTTGGATTGTGGATAGCAGAGAAAGATTGGAGTTAAGTAAGATTTGAAGCTTGGAAGTTATATGAGCTGTACAATGTATGTTAGCGCGTACGCCATGGAAACTGGCTCTTCAGAAGACGTGTGGTTCTGAGAAGTTGGGACCGGTGAGTATTAACTTGACGTTTTGGCCAGGAACTCGCCAGTTCCAACTTCTCAAAACCACACCTCTTCTGAAGAGATGGATTCCATGGTGTACCCGCAAGCCTACAGCTCAAGATTGGAGTTGAAAAGGTGGCATGTTTTGGGACAGAGAAGAGCTTTCTTAGTTTACAAACTTTCTTCCTTGCTTGTCGGTGTCGAGACCAAACTTCTAGACCAATGTATTACATATAGCACAAGATTGCTGTGCACTGTTTGTAGCCTCAGGTTATTACCTGTGGAAGCATTTTGCCAGATAAAGCAATGAAGTCCTATTCATGGGACAGCTGACTATTGCTGACCATTGTAATGCGTGACATGACTATTTGTCACACCCAATGGAGTCATGCTGACCCCATTTACGCAAACAGTAATGGAATTCTATGCAATAAAAAAACATGGAACACAGTGGTTTCCTATGGGATTGATTATACGTGACAGCAGACGAGCCCCATATGATGGAAAACCCACTTCATTTAGAAACTTGAGCAACCCTCCCCGTGTTTCAGATTGAAATTCAAAACTGCAGCTATGAATGTATACCCGCCGTCAGCACTGTTAACAAGGATAGTTTTTGTCTCGCGTACGGCTTCATGTAGTGGAATTGGCATTTTGGATGTTGACTACATTTAGACCTTGATTTATAAACGAGCCAACGTGCAAAACCAATGCACAAAACAAAGAGCTATTGGCAAGGCACAAGACATTCGAATGAATCTGGAAAATAACCATAGAATTTTGTCATTTTCTCCACCCATGGGAAGTTTTTTTCAGTAGTCTGAAAAGTAAAACATTTGATGTAGGATGTTCCCGGTAGGACACTGTACATGTACATACATGTACCTTCTTTTAACATGTTCATTACATACCTTAAACAAGACATCGGAGATATTTGGTGAAAAAACATAGAAAGTATTGGCAAAAAAGGTAACATTTAGGACCCGTGGGCACCCTCTTGTGCATGATATAGAGTTCCATGTGTAAATGAATTTGTACTGATTTTCTGATTAACAATGTAACTTTCAAGACCTCATTATGTTGAATTCATCTTTGAGAAAAATGCAGATCAACATGTGTCTTTTCTTGACATCCCTTTGTTCTCATATGCTTTAGAAAATTATGTCAAATTAACATTTTTCTTGAGCTGTGAACACCATTTGTAAGTAGGTTTTTTGTTCAGGATTGCATTATTGTTTATCAAACTGTTTTTTTAGGGGGGGGGGCTACAGGTAACCCTAACCCCCAAAAGTCACAAAACCTGTTTTTCAGAGGGAAAAAACCCTGTGCAGTCCTGGCTTTGTCCACACAAGGTTAAAGAACACCTCCGAGGAAAACATGTTTTCTCTGATTTTATCTGTTCAAATAAATACGGAAGCATCCAAGTCGAACGCAGTGTCATTTGTCTTCAGAGCTCAACTATAACAAGCTAAAAGGGCTTTTTTTTCTGTTCATGCCAAGATGCGGATTCCGAACGTAGATTGCGTCATTTGGAGAAAACAGAGAAAACGAGGGGAACCATCGCCCTCTGTTAGCAACGGATAAACCTTTGTGTAAGCCAAACTATGCATGTAGCCATTGTTTGTAGCCATTGTATGTGATTTAAGACTGTTGAACCTGATAAACCGTTATGTAGAATGCAAATGGGACTCTATATAAAGCCATCTCTAACACGAGCATGCTGTGATTTGATTAAACAAAATGTCCGCTACTATGGCAACCACATACGAGTTGTTCCTTTGTTGTCATTTTGTCTCAGTCAGTTGGTGTGTGCATGTCATTTTACTTATGTTTAGGGCATGTCGAGGGCCATTCAAACGTGACTGCTCTATGAAATGGTCGATCAGTGTAATTGCTCGATCGTTGCACGATCTGTCAGTCTCATTGAACGATTGGCCAATAATTCTGCCGTCAGCCAATCACCTTGTCTTTCTAATTTGCTCAGAAATAAGGATAGAGATCAATCTTGTGATTCACTTTAGCTCCTTTTTCACCTAAGATGTACCTCCCCTACCCCTTTTTATTCAAAATGTGACTCGTGTTCTTGTCAAAGTTCCACTTCCCACTCGAGTTTCATGGGCTTTGGTTCTGTGAAAGGCATACATCCAGGGGTGAGATTTCTGAGATTTTCAGCTGATTTTTAGGGTTCTGGATTTCAGCTTTTTTTCCTCGCTGGCTGTGTACAAAAGTATATGAGATTTTCACAGCTCAACTTCTTCAAGCCATTTTTTAGCTGTTTTCAGCTATTTTCATAATTGATGACATTCACAGGGATAGACAGGTTGCTTCTATTGGCCTGAGGAAAAACTTGAAGATGTGTGAAAGCATCCCCTACCACGGCATGAGTTATTTGCTCTTTTTTTTCTAATTTTTTTGGGTGAAAGTTGAACTGGGTTTCCTATACCCAGCAAGAAACGAGACCGAGGGGTACCCCCCAACATGTCCAATCCCTATACACATTCCAGACTATTGTTACTCAACACATCCCCCAAGATGTCTGAAAGGAATTCCCCAGATTCCAGCGAGACAATGACCAACACAAAGCAGGGGGGGGGGTTCTCTCCGTCTCATACCTTACTGCATATGGGTTTCCATCCCACCTGGGCTGTGATAATGGAAAGCCCTTGTTCCCTATTCTTTAATAGGCACATTGTTTGGCCACAGATGTGAAGCCTTGGTATGTGTACAATTCTATTCAGTATCCAATTCCTATGCCATATCAGGTAAGGCCTATACGCAGACAGGTGTGTGACTTAAAAGGTTACGCATTAGAATAATCAAGCAGGATTCCTCATTACTCTCCTGCACCATTCAGATGCCCAGCTGCAAGAGCCACTCACTGTACAACACAATAAGTTTCTGAATTAGAGACCCCAGGGGAAATAAGTTGTAACTTGACTTGACTTTGGCTTTGTAATGGACTGAATGGATTCTACACCTATTTACGGGACATTACCAAATTCCGGCAAATTAGTGCTGACCACAAGTCTCGCATGGGACAAGTACATTTGAAACACTGTCTACAGGCTGCTAAAAGTCTAGGTTGTCTGCACCGACATTCAACTTTGAACTAACTTGACGACAACCTTAGCCCCTGGTCTTCATTATTCAACTGCCAAAAATTAGTTGGAATGCACCATTTTCTAGGAATGTCCTCCCTAAAACGATTCCTCAGTCCGGGCGTATTTCCAGAGGCTACTAAAGTAATTTTGGACCTGTAAAAAGGCAACACATACTTTGTGAGAAATGTTGAAACAAGGATGTATGTTAAGGAAGAACATACCTTTCTCTCTGCCATCTTGTGCCGGTCAACATTTCATCCTGGGTGTGTCATAACGGCACAAACCAATGTCGTTGTTATGTCCGTTACAACTTCTTTGCAACCGCCCAAATCTTCCGTGTCGTCGCTGAGCAAACTTTGGTCAATGCTGTCATCCCACATCACAGAAAAACCTTTGCATGAATGACCCCCTCCGGTCCGGCTGGTCACTTAAACGATATGTCGGCAAATTCCAGCTAAATTTCCAAGAGTCTTTTAACAGAACTTTGCTCAAGTTTCACAACAAAGTCAGCTAACACCATCAGCCAAAAACTTGCCTAATTCTGACTGTCACGCGCACTCGAACTAAAAGGAGCAAGCTCACAGTCAGGGACACCTTTGCCTAACTTTCTACTGAGCCAACTCACGGTCATGAAACAATTCTGCCTAACCTTCTATCGAAGAACTAACGGTCCAGACGATTTGCCTAACTGTCCATCGAGCGAAATTACGGTCAGAAAAAAATTGCCTAACTGTTCACTGCGCTGGTTATTCAATGGTTATTAAATATTTGTCTAGTTTTCGTCCGACAGATTGATGCAAAAAACAAAATGCTAAAATTTTCATAAACCTAGCTAACCTGGCAGCTCAATTTGCCGGAAAGTTAACAAAAAAAGAAAGGGAACGAAGTTTCTGGAGATGCTTGCGGGTAAATTCAAAGTTAGGCAAATGTTTTCCCACCGCGCCGTTTGTGGCTTCGTGTAAAGTTAGGCAGATGATGCTCGACCGGGCCCGACCGTTATCTAGCTCAACAGTTAGGCAGAATTGTTTCATGACGGTTGATATGCAGTTAGGCATAAAAGCTGTGAGTGTGAGATGGAAAGTTCGGCAACTTTCCATTACTGTAAGACGGTACAGCGCGGAGTTGGGTGTTTTTTCACGACTACTACTAGGTTGAAGGTTAGGCCTACGTTGTGCCCAGTGGAATGTTAGGTAAGCATTTTTCAACTGTTATTGGCTCACTGAAAAGGAGAAGAAAATGAGACAAGAAAGCACCCAAGAAGTCTTTTTGCTGGTTTAGCACGATATGTACAGTAATTGTTTTATTAACCAGTATGCCATCACAATGAATAACGACTTCAAATATCCATTTTATTCAGTTCAAAATGTCCACTATTTCTGGTCGAAATTTGACACTTATGCTACAAGTATGAACCTGTGCATATGTAAGTACATATAATCATTCCTGCAACTCCTTCAAGTCCTTGGTCTTTGGTACATGTATGAGACCTGTCCTTGTGGAAAAGTAGTCCAATCACAGGAGAGCTATTTTTATTGTGTTCTTATGCCTGAATCTATCTTATTCAACATGTTTAATGGGTGGTGCCAGACTATTTTGGATTCGTGCCTACTGGGAGACTTTGAGACGCATGGTGGTGACGGATGAACAGGTCCTTTTCTGCGGTGTGCTCAGAACTAAAAAAAACATGCATGCCTAAAACTGCAAGCACGTGCCCACATCAACCAAAAAGGACCATGAAGTGTGTCTGTCGCCACCAAGTGTCTCAAAGTCTCCCATAAAGCTGTGTCTAAATTACTTGGCTGTGGCAAGAAATTACTCGAGTTGATAATATGGTGGCCCAGGACGGACATTGCCAATCGTCAGTATTGAGTCAATATTTGCGACCAAATTCAAGACTCACTCTTTGGTAGCAAATATTGATGGCAATATTCGTGACCAGAGAGCCGTGAATTTTTTCATGAATATTGGCGTCAATATTTGCAACCTGAGAGCGAGTCGTGAATTTGGTTGTGAATATTGACGGCAATATTCGCGGCCAAAATTCAAGACTCGCTCTCTGGTCGCAGATAATGCCATCAATATTCAAAAATGAAAAGCGGATTGTAAATTTCAGTTGGTCATTAACCCTAACCCTCCTCGATCCTTCACCTGTTGGAGGACTGAGGAGTGTTAGGGTTAACCCCTTCACCACGGAGGACTGCTACTACCGCACCATTGTGTGAGGATTAGTGCATACCACACATACAATCTATTCACCATGCAGCTGCTGGTTCAATGGGGCCTGCTGCTGGACAAAGCCCTCCATTCAGGGCATACCACAGCCTAGCAGTCACGGTCAAAACAATCCCGCTGTGAAGGGGTTAACATTGACGATTACTGATGTCCCTCCAGGGCCACTATAATAGTAGCGGCCATGTATGGCCGGTTCACACTGAGTCTTCAAGCCACAGCCAAGTGATTCGGATGCAGCCTTACTTTCATTTTTTTTAAAGTGTGGCTGAAAACATTTGGATATAATCAATCACAACTATTAAACTCTTCATCAGCATAAATGACATTAATTAGTTTTCAATCAGTGATACCATTTTTATTCTCAAATAACAAACTTCAAAACATCAAACTTTAACTTTCAATTCAGTATCACCGACTGGTGAATATGTCCAATTGGCATTTTGAGGAGTCGACTGCACTGCTCCTTTTGAAGGATGTGAAAAACGAGTCACAAGATTTTTTTCTGTTTTGGTCCCGTCACAAATTCTGTTTTGTAGAAAATAAATGAAAAACCATACAAACTCCATTCGCTAAATGAGCTAACGGTATGATTCTATGCAAGTTGACACTTGGGCATCATAGTGTCATTATTAACTCACAGCAGGTTGTTCGTGCATGTTATGCATTGCAGGCGTGTTACGAGGAACTATTCAATTGACGTTTCTAGGTTTCTCTCTCCTAATGCAACTTTTGGGATGGAAAATAACCACGACAGAATGCGTAGAATGTGAGATGGCGGAGTAGAAACATGATGACAAATCAGTGCCAGGTACTTAATAGCAGAATTCTTTTTCAGTGCGTGCCTGTACATTTTGTGATATTTTGGGGGGTTATATTTTCTTTGTTTTTTGATCAAACTCAGAAAATTTCCTTTCTGATGGCAGAGAAGTTATACGCAAACAAACAAACCTTTCTGTCAGTCACAGACACTTGTACCCTGGATGAGAGTGTCAAAGTGTTGTACTCAGTGGGCCCCGAGCTGAACCAAGAGAGGGCGCAATTTTCTTGGCAGTGGAGGTTCCTTTGGTAGTAGCTGCGCATCACTGGTTCACAAACGACTACGAAGTGTAAGCGTTGCAGTCACAAATCCTCCATGCTGTATTATAAAGTAAAGCTTTCTTGCAAAATGTTTACTCCACAATCCCCCAGTCATTATGAACAAAATTTATCCCTCTCATTGCCCTGTTTTTTCTTGAATAAAAAGTCCCTTCAGCTAGCGACAACTTGGTAGCATAACAATCGGGGACAGCTGTCGACAGTCACCCGAAGCGATGGATTGGGGGCGCACTAACAAGGTGGTCTGTCAACTCTCAGAGTTCACATCAGCTGTATGATCACAACAAATGCCGGTTGGACCACTGCTGTGTGCCTTAGTCAGGGGTGTGAGTGGTCACTTAAAATGAAAGCTGAAAACGGCTAGCAAGGAGCCGAAATGTAAAAAGTTCCCATGCCTTTGTACACAGCAGGTGTACACAAAAGCTAAAATTCAGGGTCAATATCTCAACAAAAAAAGCTGAAATCAGCTGAAATGCTGAACTGTCACACCCCTGTTCATTGATGGTGGTTAGTGGGGGGCTGGGGAAATGGGAATGGGGGCGGGTGCAGGGGGACGGATTACGACACGTATTATCACATGTATTTATTAATGAGCCAATATGTAAATCATTGGAGAGCTTCAATTATTCACGTGTATGTCCAGAAGACCCCCTGTCATCTATTCTGACCACGGGAGAAGGGATCGTGTTCACCCGACAGTTATTTACATATAAAGAAAGCATATATACAATGTAGAAGATTTTCAGTCACATGATTTTTGACGGTCAGCGTTCCAACTTGCACAGATGTGAGTGGAGATGCGAGTGCCCTCCAAGTCTCTCAACAATCTTGCGTACATGAAGTTGCCAGCAGAAATACACAGATTCGAAAAAACCTGCGCCTCCACGGACACGGTACGCTTCCTGAAATGCCTTCGCCCGTCATGTGAAAAGATCCTATACTAGAAATCTAGTGTCAGTTCCCAAAATTCCATGACCTTGGAGGCTCAGAGGAATGTATGAGACCATGTGAAATTGGGCAATGCCGTGCTGATGAACAGCTAGTGCAACAGTTTTCACAATTCAAAGTTTGGTCCAGCTGACAAATGCAAAGTAACAGCTGAAGGTTTGCTAAATGCACATTTCTGCGACTGAATATTTTTCTGTGAAGCCCCCTACAGCTGAATCTACTCAGGCTTACGGCTAAACTAGTCAAGATACACAATTTGGAAAAATCCAGTGAGTGACAGCTAGAATCCTGAGACACCGTTCACATTTGACCGTAACCTAGCCATTGGAGTCCTTCATTTAATCTACTTGGCTGTGAAGGGAACAGTACGACCCTGAAACCAGGCTACGCTTTGTGGCAGATCAGCTCTCTGTGCGCAGCTTCAGAGACAGACCAGAATAAGACTCGCAGAGTCATTTGTGCCCAAGTTGGAATGTGCCCACGTTGGAACAACTTCACCCACCCAGGCAAAAAAAAAACCCCTGATGTTCTCCTGCTGGTAGAAGCTTGTTACTGTGTGCTACTGCAAGTGGAGCTCTGTGTGTCACCCTGTCTGTCGGGGGTCACGATGACGCTCCTCTCCTTGCTGGGTTGAGGTGACGAGAAGATGGACTCGGGTTGGGATGTTGGGGTCTGTTGATGAGGCAAAAAAAAGCATTTTTCAAGCACATTCAAAACAGCTAGCAGTGACAACCCCTATTTCATCCTCGTCGCCACTGGTACTTTTGCGTACCAGTGTCTAGCAAACCATTGGTCGAAAGTACGAAAATGAGTCCACAGCTGTCTCGGCCATTTTTTGAGTCATACAGGCCAGTAGAGGAGCCAGAGGGGGCGTATGCCAATTTGTCGATTTTTTTTTTCTCAAGGGAGCACGCCTTTTCCTTCTTTCTTTTCTCTTTTGATCAGACCTGGTTATGTCATAACTTTACGGACAGAAATTATCTCGAGAACAACGCCCCACTCGCATATGTTCGTTCAGCTCCATTTTGGGTCCACCCTCCATCACAGGTCATCTGCCACCATTCTTGTAACTGTTGGATCTGCCGCCGCGGAACATGCAACATATCTGCTTGTGTTACTTTGTTACAATTTGTCTCATTCTGTGGCGAGTTTGGGTTCTGTATCATCATGCTCCAGTTGTCCACTCCTTGCTTCATCTGACTGACTCCAGACTGTTTACCTGTGGTGTCTTGCTGGCCAGCCGATGCTGAAGACAAAACCGGACCGCCTGATCGAGAACGGCAGTGTCAGGTTCAATCTTCGGAGGAAAAAAAACCCCAAAGCTTGAGGATATCAAGTTTAACAGTTAAGCTGCACAAAATCAGAACCATCACACAGAGAACACCTCCGCAATACCGGCTGTGCCTAAATTACTTGGGCTGTGACTGAGGGTATTTGGCACCTATGGAAGTCCCAACAAGCAGCTTCATGCATTTCTCATAGACATATACATTATTTTCAGCCGTAGTCGAGTTATTGGAACACGGCTACGGGCAATTCGCAATACACCAGAGTACAGCGCAAAGAGGTTATCACAGGGAAAGGAAATCTTTCAGCAATGCATTATGGGTAATACAGTCAAAATCCACACACTAAGTACTGTTCCATGTCCAAGAGGGACACTTTGCCCAGGAGCACATGTAAAGTTGGACCCCCACGTCGTGCTAGTGACCGCAAGTTAACATTGATGCCTGACTTGATTTGGATCAGTCCTTGCCGTTTCGTTTTTACCTGGATATTTCTGTACGACTTGTAGGCGACGCACAGGAGTTTGGTTGGTAAGCTGGAGTCGGTCTGGAGCTTGTTCTGGGCGGTCTGGACCAGACGATAGGCGGACAGGACAACCTAGGCGAGATTGATGTGACAAGACAAAGAAGGTAGTGAAACAGACTTTTTTCGGATGGAAAGGGACGGATTCTATTCATACAATTTCTTGGGGGGTTGGATGAGCTTACCACCGATTTTTTTCCCGGTCCAGAATATTATGAATGTTATGATGCTGTGACCTTAATGATTTTTTTCTTGGACCCAATTCTGAGAACTGTAATGTACTTTTCTCGAGTAGTGTCCAATTCAATTCTCAATGCAGGAGACAAAAAAATGGACTTTATATAATAGAGTTAGGCACAGTAGAATCGACTGCCACAAAACCATGGGAAACATTCAGAAAAAATTTTAAACATTTTTTAAAATGGTTGGGCAGGGATAGTTTCAAGGGAAACAAGTTGAGAAAAGCCGACATTTGGAAAAAAAATTAGAACTGTCAATACCGAATTTGAATTTAACCACTTGCTGTCGGGTGGTTTGAAAAATGCAGTGCACATAATCGGGTCTTTTTCAAGATTTTCGGTTTTCAAAATTGTTCAAAAATTCATCATTTCAATTAATTGACATTTACACCCACTTGAACTACTGTCTGGTGGCCACTCTAGTCTGACAGACAAAATCTACTGACGCCCGAGTATTTCAGCCAGGCCTGAAGCTTTGTACAAAGAGCCCAGATTGTGCGGTGTTATATAACTTTCTTTTGTTCACGAACCTGGCACAGTGCGCTGCTGACCTCTTTTCAATAGGGGCCAGATTAGTGTGCAGCGGTGCTGTGTGGCTCATCGCTGCGGTGGTGGAGCACTTTTGTCCCAGGTGGTAATCCACTCATGCTAAATCCCCAAAACGGTGGTATACTGTTTCAAAACAAGGCTGGATTATCTCCACTATTGAGAGTGAAAAAATGTCGGTAATGTGCAGTAGCCTGGTCTTTTGTTCTGAGTATGCTCTTTTGTTACAGGCCCTGTTCCCTTTGTCCGATTTTGGAGACCCCGGGCACATGTATAAACACGCGGTGCATGAAACAGGGCTCCCCGGCAGGAAGTAGTTAAAACACTCCTTAAAACTTACCTGTTCCATTAATTACTTTTGTTTCTTCTTGTGAAGTGCATCGAGACTTTCGTCTGATGTGCTACACTGATCAAAACTGTGTTGCTATTATTATTATAAACCCCTTCGCGGTGGGATTATTTTGACCGCGACTGCTGGGCTGTGGTATGCCCTGAATGGAGGGCTTTGTCCAGCAGCAGGCCCCATTGAACCAGCAGCTGCATGGTGAATAGACTGTATGTGTGGTATGCACTAATCCTCACACAATAGTGCTGTAGTAGCAGTCCTCCGTAGCGGAGGGGTTAAGTGACATTTTCAGCAGGAGGAAACAATGTTTCCAAAAGACTGAGAAGGGAAAAACGGCCGTCTGTGAAATCAACTGCTGATCACCTGTTGCTGCTGTTCCTTGTCCTCTGTTCTTGCCAACTCAATTTCCTCCGCCAGAACCTCCACGCAGGTCCTGTAGCAATGCCTGGCCAGAAACTGTCGGTCGACATCACGCAGGAATTTCCTGGAGATTGGGAACAAAACGGTGGCATTATAAACACAAAATGGTGGCTGGTATACTAAGGCAATCTTGCATTCAAAACTGTGGCACAGGAGTCTTGGCCCCATGAACCTGAAACTGGTCAAAGACTCGACGTTGAAGTCACAACAGTCACAAGACCAGACACAAGACCAGACACAAGACCAGGCACAAGACCAGGCACAAGACCAGACACAACACCAGACACAAGACCAGTCAAAAGACCAGTCACAAGACCAGACATAAGACTCGCCATAAGACTAGACTCAAGACCAGTCACAAGACAAGTCATAAGACCAGACAAGGGACCGGACACAAGATAGCCTAGTCACAAGACCAGCTACGAGGCTAGTCACAAATAACAAGGTACATGATGGCAAAGGAAGGCTTATGTCACCGTTACTCGAATACCTTGAATGCGGCCACCTGACCTACATGAGCTTTCTTTAGGATATCCTGTAAAAATTGAACGAAACTCACTTTCCAAGTTCCGGTGTCCGGTTCAGTTTGACGGCAATCTGCAGCAGCATGGAGTGATCGCGTAATCTCCTTAGAATGTCGATGAGCAGGCTGACAGAGCGATACATATGCCAGGAGAAACTACCTGACCTGATGAGACCAAAAGACCAACACAGCGCAGAAGTTGTGGGAGGACTGCTTTTAGTTGGACTGGAGAATTTAAAATCTTGGTAGAAATCCAGTCAATTTGGGAAAATGACAGCCCTACACTTATTTTAAAAAAAAAAAAACCTTGGAAATACACTTTCACCGACGGATGTTCTTCATTTTGTTCCACAGTTAAGTAAGCAGTAATCTTCCATAAGACAACTTGTAGCTGGCGTAATAAAATGTCCAACTCCATCCCATTGCCAAGGTACAAGTTATCTCGTAGGCACTGTATTTATTAAACACTCAAAAAAGAATATATCAGGACCTACTCAGGATCAAATGTAACCTAATAAATATGCGCGCATGTGTACGTATTGTCGGCAGTCGACGTATTAAATATCCTTCTTGTGATGGAATAGAGGAAATCCCTGCCATGTTTACCCATCATCTGGCGTGAAGTGGTTGCGAAATAATAGGTTTTACCTGTCAATTTCACTGATGGGGATCCTCCAGACTCCGTGGAAGAGGTTCTTGGTCTTCCAGTGCTCGGCGAAGAGCCCCGGCGATGGCATGTGGCTTGTCTGTTGCCAAGGCTGGTTGCTGCCGAGCAACAGGTCGCGACTCCACTGCAGACCCTGCGAGCGGATGCCAGCAAGCAAGGAGAAGATATGCGTGAGTTGCTTGGCTACAGCTAAAAAATGATGCGCCGGCCTATGAGTGATGAGGGGGCACGTGGGAGAGTGGTTAGGGACTGTAGCTTCCAATCATAGGGTTGGAGGTTCGAATCCAGCTGATGGCTTTATGTCGTGGTCTTTGGCAAGCCACTTTACCCCTGCTTGCCCCTCTCCACCCAGGAGTATAAATGGGTTGCCAGCCTTGCCTGGGGAAGCAACCTGCGATGGACTGGCATCCCAGCCAAGTGGGGATAGAAATATTCTCAGTCGCTTCATGCCAAGAAAAACGGAGATAAGCACCAGCCTGATCAGCCAAACTGGCTTGGGCCAGACTTGCTTGCTATGAGTGATTGATTCAGCCACTCATTAGCAGCTGTCATTAGTGCACGTATTATGGTATGGTACAGTAAAGGCTGGTTCATACTTCAGGTGAATGCAAAAGCGAAGCCAATTTGCCATTCTAAACATTTGCAGCAAAAACTCGCTTGAGTTGAAATCAACCGACCAAACCCATCAACAGCCTTTAGTGGATTTCTGCTCGAAATGATGTGACACTCAGGCAGGTTTGCATAAACTCTGCATGCGCACACATATTTGACGTTTCAGAGCTCTGTTGAACAATGGCTTACGCTTTTTGGACAACCTTCTGGGTTCGACATAACAGAGTCATGAAGGCCTTGTCATTTCTCACCTGCTCAGTGCTCGTCGTGGCGTAGGCATTGGCCATCCGGTACAGCGACTTGTAGTGCTGGGGAAAACGCGATAGGCACAGCTTCATCGCCTCTAGGCATCGCTCCACCAGCCACGCCTTCTGCTCCTCCTGACTCTGGCCGCAAGCAGCCTCTGTCTTCTTCACTTCATCCTCGACCTGTCTGCTGTCGCTCAGCTCCCCCCGATCCACATCACTCAGTGTTTTGCCCTCCTGTTTCTCCTCAGGTCTGACTTCCGTGTCTGCCTTTGCTTCCATTTTCAAACCATCTTTGTGATTTTGTTCCGTATCCTTGACTGGCACTACATCATCTGACGCTCCCTGTTCTCTAACCTCTACCTTTTTCTCATCCTTTTCAAAACCCTCCCCAAGGTCTCCTTCCATTTCCCTCTCCATCAATGAGTCTGCATTCTTATCATTCTTGTCTTCTGCTACCTCCTTTGCATCTGTCTTCAAATTCTCCTCGAAACCGTCTTTGTCGTTCTTAGATGTTCTGGGCTCTGTGAGATCCATCTGGTCACTGGAATCCTCTGATGAAATGGTGATGACGGAAAAATCAGCGACTGATTCCTCATTTGCCTGCACACCCATCTCCTTGGTAACCACGTCCTTCACTTCAGTGCCTGTCTCTCTCATTTCACTGATCACCGCAGTTGGTAGTGCCACTGTTTCTGTGGTCACCTGCTTCTCTGTCGGTACTGAGTCTTCAGATTCCATCTGATCTTCTGACTCTTCAGAGGAGATGACGATGATGCTGGGGTTCGTTTCGTTCAGCTGATCAGCCATTTCCTTAGTAACCACATCTTCTTCAGGTGTTTCATTTCCCAATTGCTGCTGGCTTACAGATGACCCTTTCTCTTCTACATCACCAGACACCACGTCGCTATGGCTTCTCTCTCCAGTCAGGCTGTCTGTCTTGTCTTTCTCAACCTCTCCTGTGGCATCTCCTGTGACAATCTTGACCTCCGTTAATCCCTTCCTGTCCGGCTCGGCGAGATCCTCCACCCCCAGTTGCTTACCTGCGGAGGCTGCCAGGAATTCCTCAACTGCCCCTTCAACCGATTCAGGGTCCTCCCTCTGCTCTTGGATCTGGGAAGAGGTCGCCTTGTCGACTCCAAGGTCAGCCTGTGGCTCTGTCCGCTGTCCGACACTCTCCGGTCCCGGAGGAGCCTCAAGAAGTCTCCTCTTCTCCGCTGGTTGGTCCAGAATGTCAGTGTGGATCTTGGCCAGGGACTTCAGGAGCTCGGCTGCGGAGGTTGCCCCGGCCATTGCATCTTTGCTGCAAGGTGGGAGACCTGAAGTACTGGTTGACTGCTCATCACGAGACAGCACAGGAAATGCTGATGAGTCTGAAATCGGGGAAAGTGGACAAAAAACTGAAAATCTACCGATGGATACGGATTAAATTAGGCAGGCCTTGATGCAAAACTGTAACCCTGACATCAAGGCATTCTTTGCAACTTTCCAGAAGCCTTCACAATCATTCTTTACGCTTAAAAGCATTCAAGTGTCAAACTAAAGATAATGGTGGCTGGGCTCGACTCAAAAACTTTTCAGGCAGTTTGGCTGAGGCAATCCACCTTCAGCAGAAGCACCCCCTCATTGATTAAAAAGAGCCATGTTGGTGGGGAGGGGTTATTTTGTTGGCAGCGATGCCACCGTTACGCGTGCATTTCTTGGTCATTCCTGAACCAGCAAAGTTCACTTCCGACCAAAGGAGCCTCCGCTGCTAAGAAAATTGCACCTTCTATTGGGCCAGCTTAGGGCTCATTGGACAACCCACTGCTCCAGTTGACCAAGGGGTCGGAGCAGTCTCACCTGTTGAGGTCATGACTAGCTGCCTCTTTCTTCCCCTGGACCGCACGTAGTCGTGGTCAGTCGGGGTGGCAACAAACAAGGGACTGCCAGGAACTTTGGCCTTCTCTGGTCTGACCTCTAGATCCTTAGCATCGGCCTGACCTCTGCCCTCCAGCTGCACTCTGATGCTGGGAAATGGCGACTTGGCGTCCGGGTCGTTGTCTGCTGAAGAGGGTCTGATGTTGGGTTGAAAGGAAATAAGATGAGTTTTAAATGAGCTTTTCAAACCCTGAAAATTCTAAGCATGTGGAACAATATTCATGCAACGGGTTCAAAGGTCAACTAACGGTTCACTAGTGTCCATTTTCTCCTGGGCAGAAACGAATGGTTCGTCGGCAGCCTCTAAGACGTAGCGCTGAAGCATGGCATAATCACCGTGGAAACCCGGCAGGGGTTTCCCCAGCAGTTTCAAGATGGAGGCGTGAAGCCTGAAGTACATCTGCCGAGAAACAATGAGATAGCGAGTGAGACAATCACGACTCTGTCTCCCGTTTGCGGCTTCAAGTGAGACTCCAAGATTCAAGCTTTTAAGGCTGGAACCAAAATGGAAACCAAAGATCATAGGGTGCCGTGTAGCGGCGCAACATGGAGAACTTCACGTGAATACACGTAAAACATTGTAATCGCATGGGCGCCATTTGAGCAAGCGATATGCCTGCGCAATACACATTAACGAACAGGCGCTGGCGCCGCGGCAGGCACGTACACCTGGTGCACCTACGCCTAAAGCATTACCGTAAACTGTGCAAGCATATCGCTTGCTCAAATGGCGCCCATGGTAATTACACCTTTTGGGCAGAGTTATCCATCTTGCGCCTTCAGCGCTATACGATCTTTGTTGGAAACACTCCGAGCTTCGACCCTGCAGGAGACAGTTTGACAGTTTTAGGGCAGAAAATGCAGCTTCACTGAATTCATGAAACAAATGCCCAAAGCAAGAGCTGGAAATGGAGACAAGGAGACACGGAGTATTCATGCAGAGTCATGAACCTGTATGCTTCAATGTGTAAAACTGTACAAGGCAGCTCGTAATTTACTCATCAATTTCATGAATTATGCATGTTTACTGACCTCCAAGGCCTCCAAGGAGAGATCCGGTGGGTTGTGGTACGCAATCTTCTTGGGATATTTCGCCTCGTCTTCATGAAGATAATAAGCAGCCTGAACAAGAAAAAGACAAGGAATCAGGTAACAAAGGAACCTCTGGAACGAGGTATAAATGAATAAAATGAAATTAAGTCAAATACCTTTCAAACAGATCAAATTTAAATAGTATGAAATTAAAACCAAATGAAGTCAGATCAAAGTACTTTGGGACTTGTCTGTACCGTCAAAGCCATTGTTCCCAGCATGCAACACTGACCACACATTCCATCATCCTCTTCCTCTGTTATGAATTTTTCAGGATTCATCTTCTTTTAAATCAACCTTCCCACAATGCAACACCAGCCCCCCCCCCCCAATATCCCACTATCAACTCCAACCTCCTCCTACCTTCTTGTAATCCACTAGGAAGTCTTTGGGGCTTGTCTGCCTCTTCTCGGCCACCTTGCCCAGCCTGCGATACCCCCCCTCCCCCAGAAACCCCACCATGAACCGCCCACCCTTCTCCTACCTTCTTGTAATGTTCCAGAAAGTCTTCAGGGCTCGTCTGCCTCTTCTCGGCCACCTTGCCCAGCATGTAGTGCACCAGCCATTCCTCCTCCTCCCCGTCCACCTCGCACTGCCTCGCCTCCTCGAAGCACCTCTCAGCCAACCCCAGACACTCCGATCGCTTCTCCTGCAGGAATTCCACGATGTCTTCAGTAAGCGAAAACTGCTCCCTCTGCAGAACAGAACACGATAAATTCCAGACTCAGAAAAACAGTCGATTCCAAACGCTGAACGAGCTTCACTTACAAGATGGCCATTTTAGATCATACTCCCCGAACCCACTTCATTTATAATGAACACTCTGGAATGGAAAGAGCCTGACTATTTTGCTAGAATTGCAGGTATAGAGGTTTTCATGTGATATAACATGACAGGCAAAGGCACGTGCATTTTCGAATCTGGGTATTTCTATTGGCAATTTCATGTACGCCAGAAAGTTGAGAGATTTTAAGGGATCCCTGAAATAATTTTCTTAGAATCACTATTTTGTGTATCTCTGTACTCTTCTTAAGTGTATGAAGAAATGTTTGACTTTTTTTTTGAGATATGTGAACTGAAAAGTGTACTTTTTAAACATTCCAAATTGACCAAGCATTTCTGGACAAGTGAGGGCGCTTTTCCTCTCATGTAAAAAATCAAGGAAGGCAAGGCACAGTTTGCATGTTTTCATGTTCAAATTGGGAACTCCAAATTTGCTACCTGAAAACATTTCTGTGAAAAAGGTTGCTTGCTTACTTATTGCAATATACTTGCACAACAATAAATTGCAAAAGGAAATGAAATCTACCATAGCAGTGTTCAAAAAAATCTAGAAATATTCTTTGCACAAATCAGTGCAACATTGAGATTCAGTGCCTTGGATGACATCATAGTTTTGCTTATGAATATGCAAATGTGCGTAAGCATAAAAACCAAAAAAAAAGCTCCAAAATATGGGTTAAAATTGCAAAACAAAGGTTTAAAATCAGATAAACTGAGACCCGGAGGTGCAATTTCAAGGGTTTTAGTACAATTTAGTACCATATTTCTACTTCATAGTCCCTTTAAAGGGACACGTTTCCGTGTATGCTTGAGTAAACTGAACGCCGACTGTCAAAAATCACCTGACTGATAAATCCTCTGCAGCTTCGCTTTGAATTTCTTTTCATATGGAGACATGACTTTCAATCCATAATTTGGAATAACACATCAAAGCACAAGGACGCTAATCTATACTTCGCCCCTCCTGCGACACCTTGATCCCAACACATATTTTTGAAGTTTTACGAAACTTTATACACAGGTCAAGATGGAAAACTCTTGGAAAAGAGTATGTTATACTAAGAAGAAAATCAATTCTGAAGTTGAAATTGATTTCAGACTCCGAATAGATTTGATTCTAGCTCAGAGTAGAAAGTTGATCCCAACTCAGAAAAAAAATTATTCTAAATTCACAACAGACCTAAGTTAAAACTCAGAATAGAGTGTCAATTCAAAACTCAGAACCGAGTCACATCCAAACCCATGACACAATACACTTCCCTGCTCTGAAAACAAGACACTGTTTTGCAGTACGGCCTCAGGACACAAACACACAGAAACCACAGAGAATGAGCTGTTGTTCGCCGAGGTCTTTTGTTGAAAATGGTCCTCAAACAAACTGGCGTATGTGCTCAGTTTAGGGGACAGTATTTGGCACGAAAGCAAAAGGAGATACACAGTGGGCTAGTCTCGTGGTAAACGGCTTACAGACTGACCAAACGAGGGACTACCAGGACCGGAACAGACTGATTGACTGACTGACTGACTGTGGCTTTACCTGCTTGAGTTGTCGGGATGCGTAGGAGTGCACCATGTACGCCATAGAGCCGTACTCGATCCAAAGCGAGCGATTGGTTCGATCTATCTCCAGGGCTCGCTGGAAGCAGCGCAAGGCGGCCACAGAGTGTTTGTAGATGGTGCCCTCAGTTTTAGAATCGCACTGCGACAGCAAAAAAAATCAATGTATAATAATCCTATTAAAAGAAAAAATCATTTGCAATTGTCCACTTTGACCTATCCCCATTTAAAACACCTGTCTGAAGTGACAACCTTAAAAAAAACAAAAACATAATGACACTGCAGATCCAGTGATCTGAAGAGTGAACTTGCATATGAGGAAAACAAAATGGGATTTTTTGTCATTGCAAGTGTAACTGACCATGTTGAATTTGAGCTCGAGTCGTCCACTCCGGGCCAGGGCCATTCCGGCCCAGCTGTCCAACCGGTCCGGACACACACAGAGATCCTGCATGTAGAGCTTGATGGCTTTGCTGCGCAGGTAGAAAGAAGTGAAGAGAGCAAAACGGAGTATAACTTTTGACCCGCAGGCTTACAACGGATATCACCAGAAATGGGCCGTGGGTGAATACGCTTGTTTCTAGTGTTAGAGTCAGGCACTTCTAGGTGCCAATTTGACTGCCAATTGGCTACGTCTGAACAAACATGAAGAATATGGACGTCGGATGGTGAAATCAAGAAGGTAAGATTCCCAAATCAGTCTGAGACTTCACACTGGCACGGCTGTGTCAAAATAAAGTTTTCAGGAGAAAAGTACTCAAAAACTTTTTGCCCAAGAAATATCAGCTACGCAAATAGAGGAAAATGGAGGACCTGAAACTTGATCTTAAAAAAATCTGTTTCTGAGAATTTTAGACCGATTATGCAATGTAAAACTTAAGCCCTATAAGTATTGATATACAGGCCAAAACGTCATTGGCAGGGAGAGAAAACCTTTTAATGCCAAGGACTTGTACTCACAAGAGCTCCTTGTTCTTGAAGTAGAAATCTGCCAGCAAGTAGTAAATTTCCTTGACCACCGGTCTGAAAAAAAAAGAGTTTAGGTAAGGGACCGTGGCTTTACAATTTAAAGTTCTCTGCTTAATTTGACCGTGAAATACCGACTGACTGGTATAAAATGGAGAAAACTGAACACGATGGCGGGTTTATTTGTGAGGAGCATTTGTAAAAATTCCAGGGCAAAAAATCCCCCTACAATTGGCCCTTCAATCAACTTTGCACAAATCACTGAACGGCATCAGATAATTTTTTTTTTTTAAATTCACCACGAAAAACAGAAAAACTTGAATGACTGCGGACAATTACCTGATGATGGGCCGATCGGCAGGGATGGAAGGGGGCTCATCCGTCTTGGCCTCGACGTAGGCCTGCAGCATTTCCATGGTGACAGGCGGGTCCTCCATGGGCGGGATGATGCGGACGATCTTCAGGAGGAGGCTCTCCAGGTCACCCGACAGCGAGGAGGTCTTGTAGGAGTCAAACTCGGGCAGCACGCTGGGCTTGAAGTAGTCGAAGATGAGACGGGCGTCCTCCATGTCCATGGGCAGCTGCAAGACAGAGGTCACAGGTTCAGCCTCTTTAAATTCAGAGTTCAGTTTCGAGGAGCTGCTAGTCACAAGAGAAAATCCTGTAAGAACGTTCAGCATTCCAGGGCCCAATTTCACAGCGCTGCTAAGCACATGATTTCATGCTTGAGGCTCCGCATATTTCATGAAGACAATAAGCAGTAAGCACAAATGGCTGCTTACCTAGAAGGAAGAAAGTGCTTATTGAGATGTAACAATGGAAATCTCCACATGTGTGCAACCGTTAGCACAACCACGTAATGAAACAGCACTTAAGGTAACAGCAAAATTTTCTCCACTCCACCTCAAGCGGGCCCAAGCAAGGGCAGAATTTTCCTAGCAATGAAAGGCTTCCTTGGTGGGAACTGCATTTCGCTAGTTCACAAGTGACTAAGAAATTCATGTGTTATGCTACCAACAAAAGGAGCATTCCCCACCAACACGGTTCTTTTCAACCAATCAGGGGGTGCTTCTGCTCAAGGCCGATGGTAAAGCATAATTTTGCTGCTCGCTGTTAAGCAGTGTCATGAAATTGGGCCTCGTTGCAAGAAGGGTTCAGGGGGACAACGACCATCTTACTTCCTCCACGCCGTGGTCCTGAAGATGTCTAGCCTTCGTCTTCTTGCTGGGGTGGCTGTGGAGGCAGAAGAAGCACTGCTCCAGGGAGTACTGCAGGTCGCTCAGGAAGGGATGCGGGTCCTCCTCTGTTCCCGTGGCGATCTCGCGGCTCAGGACAGAGATGTACAAACGCAGGAAGGCTCCGTTGGAATTGCAGCACCACGAACGCCTGATAGGGTCAAGATACTATCGTAAGGGACTGAAAAACTTGGAATGCTTGGAGTCTAACCAGTCATAATCGTACTTAAGTACTCAAGTAATGACGTCCTTCTCATAGTTTGACACAGTTTTTAAGAATTATAAAGTTCCCATAACTTTGGTCAACAATTTTATGTCATTATTTCCAAATATCCCTCAAGCCATGATACGGTGCGTTTCTCTCACGTGAATTTGTAAACGATCTCCATATATGGAGACAGGCACCAGTAAGGTGCATACTACATATGGTGACGCACAGCCATCAATTATCAATCTTTATCAATTTTTTAAGACAGGCCATGTGACGGCTCTCAACTAATAGGAATAATGGCTCAACCATCTTGCGTATTTATGAACGCACTATACAGCTACTACTCCTTTCGCTGGATGTGCAGACTTGTCCAGCTAGGAGAGCCAAAGGCATGCCGCTCCCCACGAGGAGTGCTGCCAAAGGGAAAACTCACCGGCCGAGATAATCGTGGGCAGTGTCCAGCAGCATGAGGGAGGAGGGAATCATGGGAGTGCTGCACCGCCCTGCATCATCGTTGGTTGCCATGGTTGCAAGCTGGTCCTCCTCACTGATGCAAAAAAAGGGGCAAACGATCGTGAACTGGGTCTTGAGGACAGTGAAACTGTCAGGATTGGAATGGACGGGAAGATGTGCGGTTCAACAAAATGGAGTCAGGTGAAACAACCCGAGAGAGATGGTTGAAGCACGTTACACATAAAGTACTCCCTCGATGACCACGAAGAGACAGGTTGGTGGGAATTGTTTCAACTCGGTGTCTGATGCACGCATAATTTCTGACAGAAGATGTCCGTGCGCACTCAGCAAGGCCGGCACAAAGCATGCACAAACCTGTGCGCACATATTGAGTTCAAACAAAAGGACCGTCATTGCTATGTATGCTTAAGGAAGTCGTTGGCTTGTTTTTGCTAATGAGCAGTTGTGGTAGTGTTGTATTCAAGTCCATCACAAATCCTTTCCCAAGGCCAGTCACAAGTCCCTCCACAAGGCCAGTCACAAGTCCAGTTGTAAGTCCAGTCACAAGGCCAGTCACAAGTCCCTTCACAAGGCCAGTCACAAGTCCAGTCATAAGTCCAGTCACAAGTCCAGTCACAAGTCCCTTCACAAGGCCAGTCACAAGTCCAGTCACAAGTCC